TAAAACTGTTTTTGTACTTGCATTAAAAGAAAACTCACTACCGGAAAGAAGTTAATTTCTGCTCCGTTTAGAAATAACTCAAGGCGGCAAACATACCTAATACTCCTCCCTCCCTCCCTATTTTCCCCACAACAACAACCCTGTGAGGTGGGTTGAATGGAAGAAAGGGACTGGCCCAAAGTCACCCATTCGGCTTTTGTGGGTCTAGAACTCCCATGTTTCTGGTCTGATGCTTTTATCACCAGACCCAATATTATCCTGATTAAAACCCTTCTTTCAAAGGGCACCTGGGTATTCTCAGGCCGTATGTTTGAATTCAAATTGTTTGATTTGTATGCCAATATGTATCCTATCCTGACCAGAAATCTGTTGGTGAGTATTAAGCCTTAGAAAGCCAGCATGTACTAAGTATTTGTAGACAAGTTAAGCTTGCCAGCATGGAAACCTGGGAATTTGCAGAAGTATAAAACTACATTGGGTTAAAGATTCTAAGATGTTTCAAGTAGTGGACACTGGAACAAGTCAAATGAGCATTAAGCATGTTTACCCCAGACAGATTACTAGAGGGGGATGAAATGAATAAGGAATCTTCATGTAACATTGAGTTTGCAGATCCACCATGCCTGCTCCTATTCGTGGATGCAACACCCTGCAGAAACCAGCAGGGCTGTTGTGGCCCGCCAGTTGCCAGCACAGTTGGCAGCAGATTCAGACAGCAAGGAGGTTGGGGAGGAACATGAGCCAGTCCTGGAGTCTGGGGAAGGCTCTGATGAGGGCTCTGTGTCGGAGGCAGAGATGGGGCCGGGGCCATATGTCAGTTATCAGATGCCTTCAGAGTCAGACATTAGTGGGGCAGAAGAACAGCTGGAGCCTGTTTCCAGTTTGCACATGCGCAGGGTTGCCAGACGAAGAGAACAGCTAAAGAACGGGGGTTGATTTGGGAGCAAGGCCACAGGTGGACGATGAATGCCCCCTCCAAGGGGAAATAAAAGAGGAGCGAAAGGGGACTGGAGTTTGCAGGAGACCATTAGTTCGCTTAATTGGTTCGTGACTCTCTGAGCCTCCTTGCCAAGTTTTGCAGATATCAGCCTGGTAACTCTCCAAGCCAGATAAGGTCTGTGATTGTAAATCCTCCCTCGAAAGACTTTGCTGGATGTGAATGAGCAGAATCCACTGTCAATTAATAAAAGGGGTTTTTGTCCGGACAAGGAGTTTGCTCCATGCTTTTGGGAAGTCTCGGTCAGAACAAGGGCTGTACAAAATATACAGGAAGAACCTTAAAGGAAAAATGAATGGCTGATATCTATGTTATTTTAAGCCCGTCTTTTGGCAAAGAGCCAATGAATGTGTCAATGACGTGTCTTTCAAAAACTAAAGGAAGGAAAATGTTCCCTGTTTGGTGATGATCAATAACCAGATGAACTCTCGAGACCCTCTTAAAAATTACCTCATTATTTATTCTGGGTGCCGTCTGCAAATCAAACAAACCGTTCCTCTATTTAAAGTGAGCTAAAGTTTCCAGGCGTCATTTCTCGTTAGAAACAGGTATCGTCTCGCATTACCAACCACAGAAAGGATCCCGGCTTTTGTAGATTCTCTGTTGTCAGGCGAGGGCAATCCTCTTGGTGACATTGGGGAGGGGCACCACCCCCCTTCCGCGCGGGTGACATAGCCCAAAAGACTTTTCACTGATTCGGCTTAAATGACTGGTGTGTGCAGGCCGTTAATCTAAATCCTGGGAACTCTAGCATGGTTTAGCTTTAGAAGTTCCCTGGGTTGGCCAGTCCTCAAAAAGGGAAATGCAGCCGGCCTCACCCGCTTTCCTTGGCTTTGAAGAAATTGGGCGTCGAAGCCTTTCATGGCACAGAGATAAAAAAACTGCTTCAGATTTTTCTCCAATTAGTACTCGGGAACAAAAGGGTTCTAACCTTCGTGGTGGTGACAAGATTTCTGTTTGGCAGGAGAAGAAAGGAAATTGGAACACATCCTAACGCTGTTTATTTTTTTCCTTCCGATGCTCAATGACACATTTCCAACTTTTCTAGAGCTGGGTCAATAAATTGCTTGCAGATCTCCTTGCCTTGTTTATTTTAGTTATTTGTTTGATTGATACCCCGTCTTTCGTTCAGGAGCTCAATTTTTTTTACTGCAATTTTCCTTTGCAACAACATACAGGGTTCTTTGCATTGGCAAAGGCAGAGCGACTAATTCAGTGTTACTGTGGGTGTTCTGACCTAGGCTTCCCCCAAAAGGTACAAAGCAGATTCCTGGCCCCGATAAAACCCCTTTTATTAAACGAATGTGAATTCCTCTCCTTCACATTCCGCAAAGGCCTGGCAAATAGTCTTTCCAAGGTGAGTTTATGACCACAGACCTTATCTAGCTTGGAAAGCTGCCATGTAAATATTTTCCAAATGTGGGGCTGTGCAAGGAAAGACTGGGCACAGAGTCTCTGGGATTCACGGACAGATCTTCGCACTCCTGAAACGAACGAACGAATGAACAAATTGTTCCTGCCAAAGTCCACTTCCCTTTCGCTCCTCTTTTATTTCCTATTGGAGGGGCCATTCACCATCCATCTGTGGCTTTACTCCCAAGTCGACCCTGATTTCTTAACTGTTCTTCTGGTAGTTCTGCGCATACGCATACTGGGAACAGGCTCCAGCTGTTCCT